AGTCATTAGGTGCAAATGGGTATTCAAAAAGAAAACTGACATGGATGGAATTGTGCATACTTATAAAGCCAGGTTGGTAGCAAAAGGTCTCACTCAAACTCAGGAGTTGATTATGATGAGACTTTTTCTCTGGTAGCTATGATTAAATCTATCACGATTCTTCTTGTCATAGATGTGCATCATGATTACGAGATATGACTACTGTATGTTAAAACCGCGTTCCTTAACAGAACTTTAAACGAGGACGTGTACATGATACAACCAGAAGGTTTTAAACATCTAATTTATTCTGAAAATGTATGCAAATTGCAAAGGTCCATTTATGGATTGAAAGTAAGTATCTTGTAGTTGGAATCTTCGTTTTGACGAGAAAATCAAAGAAATTGGTTTTGTAAAGAACGAAGATGAACATTGTGTATACAAGAAGACCGATGGGAGCATAATAATATTCCTGATCCTATATGTCGATGACATGTTGATCATCAGAAATGACATATCAACGCTTAAGGGTATAAAAGGCCTGGCTATAGAAGTGGTATGTGATGAAGCATTTAGGAGAGCAACATATATCCTTGACATAAAGATCTATCGAGATAGATTAAAGCGCTTAATTGGATTAAGCACGAGTACATACATTGACAATGTCTTGAAATACTTCAATATGCGCGGTTCCAAGAGAAGAAACTTGCCAATGGTACATGACATACAAATGAGCAAGACTGAGTGTCCTAGTACAAAACATGACATGTATTATATGAAGGGTGTTTCCTATGCTTCGGCCATCGGTTCTATCATGTATGTCATGTTATGTATTAAACCAGACGTCTCGTATGCCCTAAACATGACGAAAAATATCAGCAAAACCCAGGTGACGTTCACTGGGTAGCAGTAAAGAACATCATGAAGTATCTAAGAAGAACCAATATTTTACTATGTCTATATGACGGTTAGGAAGAAGATCTATATATCCAACTATTAACAGGATACCAGGATTGGGATTCCGCTCCACATCCCCATCCCTATCGGGGAATCAGGGATTTCCCCATTTACAATTTTTTTTTTAATAATATCTTATAAATGTCAATTTCACGTTTAAACTTCATATTATTCTAAATCTCGGTAAACCAAATTTTAATGGTTACATTAGTATAAGAGTAGTTCAAAATAAATATATCAATTACAATGGTTAATAATTGAAAATTTTATGCATCCACATTGTTATATCACCAAAAAGTCTCGCCAAACAATCAAATAAATACTATAAAACATTTTCAAAGTTTTCTTATAATCGAAGATTGATTATATTTATTAAATTTATGAATTACAATATCCTAATTGAGTTTTTCATTTTACTAGATTATACATATACATATCTATTAATATAAAAACGTACTAATAAATAATCCGGGCCAGGGTTGGAGTCAGGTTTGAGGGTATCCCCATCTCCGCCCCCATCCCCGGTTAACAAAATCGAGGAATCTCCATCCCCGTCCCCATCCTAGGTCAACTCAGGGCTTCCTCGGTCAAACCAGGTTCGGGTGTTGGGTTCCTTGTTGGACGAGTTCTTTTGATGCTAGCTTCCAAACTGACCATGATGACTTTAAATCGTAGTTGAGATACATATTTGTGTTAAATGGTAGTGTTTTGAGTTGGAAGAGCTACAAGCAAAGTACAATAGCATATTCGACTTAGAATTGGAGTACATTGCAGCGTTGGACGCCATAAAAGAAGCTGTTTGGATGAAATAAGATCATCTCAGACCTAGAAGTCATTCATAACTTATGTGACCCTGTTGAGATCTATTGCAACAATGAGGGTGCCATAACTCAGGCGAAAGAACCAAGGTCAGATCAGCGCCCCAAGCATATTCTAAGACGGTATCACCTGATTTTGAGAGATCATTGATTAATGTGACGTAAATATATGTAAAGTTCTATCAGATCCTCGCCCCAGATCCTATACAAAGTTGGATCTTGAAGACAGAAAAGATGGCAATAAGATCATTTAAGTTTTGGGTATACAAAATTGTATGCCCTTATTGGCTGTCTTTTATAATCATTTTTTTAGAAAGAATATTATGTGTTTAGATGAAAATGTTCGGATAATGGTATGACATATTAATTATATCATATTTCTCTCAATTGTTTGATTACAATTAATTATGTTTTGAACCTATCATGATAAATGCGTTGTGTTTGACATAACCCAGTGGCTTTTGAATCTGATTTTTGCTGCTTGGTAATCACTCATCAGGGGTTGTTTACAGGCAGTGATGTTTTCTCGTTTTGTTTCACTCATGAAACTGATGTTTTTTTCCCCAGATGATAGTTCTTTAGTGTCAAAAGCGTTCACCTTCTGTCTTCAATTGTCACTGACCTTAGTATGGGTGTCGGATTATCATTTGCTCACTAGAAATCAATCACTTGACTGATCCTTAGTTTTATTTGCTTTGTGAAGTATTATGGGTTTAAGTTTTAGAACAGTTGGCCAAACAAATTTTTTGTCTCGTGTACGGGATCTCCAAACTCCAATCTCGTGTACGATATGAGGCTTTAGACAAACTCATGTAATGCAAATTATACAAGAATATTTAACACATTTTTCAGTTAAGGGGCCGATTATCAAACACTTACCCGGTAAGCATTTACTGGTAAAATTTAACACTATCATTTACTTACAGGGTAAGATTTTAGTTCACCAAAACGGTATTGTATGCAACATTTTACCCTGTAATCATTTACCGTGGTAAGAGTTGTCATACTCACTTACCGGGTAAGACTCTTGATCCTTGTCTTGTTCTTACCGGGTAAGATTCTTAGTCCTTACTGTAACGCCCCCAGAACCCCGTAGCATGATATTGTCCGCTTTGACTAACCTGCCCGCTCAACCAAAAAGCAGTAGTCGCACGGTTTTGTTTCTGGCAGCCGCACAACGCAAGCCCCAAAACCGGTCATGCTAGGATGAGGTATCCACACCCTTATAAGGAGTGCTTAGTTCTCCTCACCAACCGATGTGGGATGGGATGTTTCACCTACCATATTCATCCGATAAGGAAATGCGACTTGGTGTTCACTTACCCGAGTAAGTGGTTGGTAAACGGTCCCTAAGTCATGTTCAACCACTAATTGAATTTTTTTTTCAGACATAAATTTTAGACTTTTTTTTTCTTTTTAATGAGAAATTTGCATTAATTTCTTGTTCTGAATTTATAATGAAATTTAAATCCTAGTGCAATGCATAGATACATGACTTTAAGTAACAAATAAAGTTCAAGTGATAATAAATCAAATGTTCACCTCAATTTCTTCTACATCTCCACCGTACACTCTTCGATGGTACGACTTGTGTATCGGTAAAATGGATGGAATGGGAAAGCTGCATATGAAGAAGGGGTTTTGGGAGCTCGACCTCTGGATAATTCGAGAACTGCCATGGGGGAAGAGTCCTTAGAAAGGCTACGTTCCTTTTTAGACGCTTGATTACGTCCTGTTGCATAGCACGAGTATACAATTAGTATATATATAGGGTTGGGTTCCGGTGAGAAGGAGAGTTAAGGTGAGAAGTGTAAGAAGGGATCTCTATCCTTGTGTGCACATTAGGATGAGATGCACTAGATCAAAACCCATATCAAGTGCGATTCATGGGTGAGTTTGAGATTAAAGATGATCAAGGGTCCAAATCCCTTTTTACGATTCTCACCTTAACTCTCTTTCTCACATGATCATTCGTCTATACATAGTCGTAATCAAATACAAACCATTGAAGCATTGGAAACCATATAAATTAATCACTTAAGATATTTATGAAAATGATAAAGATTCATTTATTACAATTGATATATTTATGGAAGATGTTTAGAGTTAATTAATTATGATTAACGCTTTATATTAGGAAACCATCAATATATATATACATATAAATATTTATGAGAAGTTGAAACTGTAGTATATTCAAGATAAATATTATGGTGAAAATTAATACTTTTGATAAATATCATATTAATATAAATATCAGAGAATTAATGTATACACGTGATCATATATAAATATTCATGATGAATAGTATGTTTATTTATGATAAATGTTACAGTGAATGTATATTCATGTCGAATATCATATGGATGTATGGATGTTGAAAAATTGTTATATACACATGAACATATATAAATATTCATGATAAATAGTATGTATGATATATGAATACTAAAAAATTATTGTATACACGTGAATATACATTTATGATGAATGTTATAAAGAAAACGTATATTGATGATAATGTCATAGTGATGTATGAATACTGGAGATTTATTGGATACATGTGAAAATACATAATTATTCATGATGATATCATACTATGTATAAATATTAAGGAGTTGTTGTAAACATATGAACGTGTATAAATATTCATAATGAATATTACACAAATATATCATATGACGTAAAAAACGTTAAAACATAAATAAATAAAAAAAACTATATCAAGATCAATATCAAATCGAGAAGAATATAATGCTCGTTTTTTTAATATAATTTGTTTGATTAAAATATTAATTATTTTAAGATAATTTAGTTTAAAATTTAAGGGGGTAAATTTTTTTTAATTAAAAAAGAAAATAAAAGATCAAACATGATAGAAATAAATCTTAACTTTCATTTTTATCCCTAATTACTTCTTGGTGTGTATATATATATATATATATTATATACATAAAGGTGAGTTATTATGTAACATTTACATTTGTACAATTAATACAACTCAATCTCAACCGTCTATTTAATTTAATGAATATGTGATTTTATAAAAATTTTGATTGTTTCATAACATAAAATATTGATCACAATTAATGAATTCTAGCAATCTTTCATAAATATTCAAATTATAATAAATGAACTTTCATTATTTCTATAAATATCTCAATTAATTAAATTATATTGGTTATACAAATAAACATAGTTACATTTTAAATATACCCTATATCTATTCTCAAACCTTAACCTTACTGCTTTGTAAACCTTAAAAAGAACTTAAAAAATTACATGTTAAAACCCCTAGGATCATTACAAGACAAATTTCCTAGAGATATGTACACAAGTGTGGTCCTTAAGCGTGTGTGAGCCTTCCCAAAACCCCAATTCTCCTTTTCTCCTTTCTGCTTTCTCCTTCACTATCATTCAACCTAATACCCACACCAGATCCTATGGCGGATTCCACCAATAAGCTAGAAGATGACCAACCTCCGCCGTCTACGGCGTCTCCGACGTATTTGATTCTCTTAAGGCTCATGAGCAAGAGGCGGACATGGGTTTTCCTTTTTCTATTTGTCTACACAATCCTCTTGTCATCCTCTTGGAACCTTCTCAAATCCGTACTATCATGGTACGACTCCACCGTCACCACCTCCCCCTCATCTTCAACTGGGTGGCCGGCGATCTACGCTTCGGTGGCTTTGGGTGTGATCTTCGGGCTTCTTTCCATGGCCGCCGCTTTGGCCGTGGCGATTCCGGCGACCCTGGTCACGTGGATCTCCGTGTTGGTTTTGTTGACCTTCTTCGGGAAGCCGCGGAAGTCTCTGGTGGTGGAAGGGAAGAAACTGACGGCGGAGATTACTCGGACGGTGGGTAAGATTTTGATCAAAGAAGGGAATTTGGTTGCTGCTGTTTGTGCCGTTTTGGGGTATATTCTGCTCGTTAGAAATGGCGGAAAAGACTAAATCCAAACCAATGTACAATTTTCAATGCGTTTTGTACAAGTTAGTATAGCAGTAACTGTTCTGGATTTTGTTATTTCTGTTCTGGAAATAGATTTTACCTTATTTTGCCTCAAACTTTGCAATATATATTTACATATATGTATATATCTATACATGATTGGGTCCCGTGAGAACGACAATTAAGATAAAAAGAATAAGGAGAAATCTTTATCATTAGATATATGTTAAAGACAAGATTTACTGCATCAAAGGGTTTAGATCGCTTCTTACGCTTCTCTTCTTAACCCTCATTTTCACAGACAATATATATAGACTTGGGACCATATGACACCAATGGTTTTTCGTGAGACCCATTTGACCAATTTTTAACTCTTGGATTAGATCTACAATCTGAACATTTATAAGCACAAAATTACCACGAGATTTCTCAATAATTATAAAATTATCACCGTGCAACTTTAGACCATTAGATCATTAGCTTATAAAGTTGATCAATACACATAAATTAATCTTACGGGTCTCACGAAAAACCCTTGGTTAAACGTGAACCCAACCCTATATATGTATTGTAATTTGTTTGTTCTTATTTAGGAAAAGATTTTGTAGAGAGATAGTGAAGTAGCAAGGATTATATTCTCTTCTTGCAATTGGGGGAAACTTTTTTAACTTTTTTATTTTTTTATTTTTATAATGGATTAATTTTAAAAAAAATAAACCAGACAAATTTATAAAACCATAAAAAAACAGAGTTTAGGTAAATTTATAATGGATAAATTAATGTTGTTAGATTTTAAGTTAGGCAAGGAAAATCTAGGACAAGTACATACTTAGTTTTGTTTAAATTCACTTTTGTTTATTAATTTTCTTTTTATATATGTATTAAAATTTAAATTTATTTTTTTATATTTTTAATGTATAATTTGACATGATTTTGACATAAATGATAATACATAAATTGTTGTAAAAGTGACATGTCTTGTATTTCGTTTATTATGTAGAACATTTTACAAGATGCACTTTTTCACGGTTTTAGTCTTTTGACCTAATGTCTATTCGGTGAGTTAAAGATGAGGGTATTTTCGTCTTTTTACTTTTTTTTAAAAATTTCTTTTATATTTTTGCTTGAATGTTTCATCTTCTCTGTCAATTTGAAGAGCATACTTTACCCTAAAATTTATGATTACCTTAAACCAAGTACTTACATAATATGTTCAAACAAAAACCTAGATGAAGTATAAACACATATGTTAAAAACAATATTGTTGAAAAACATCTACTGCTTTTATTTGATACAAACAAGAACTACAAGCTTACAAAGAAATCATATTAGCTTTTGTACAAAATGGATATTTATACAAGTCTAACAGAAGAAGAATATGAACAACAGAAAATGAAAGAAATCGCTAGGGTAAGAGCTCAAGATGAGAGCTAAGAGAGAATTCAAAATGAAAAATGTGTGAGTGAATGAATCCGGCTTCAAGATTAAGGGTTTATATATGTATATACTTTTAACAGCTTTGCCCCTTGAAGAACCAAAATGTGCTCCGCTATCCACTGAAATCTCCAAGAAGTGAGGCGCAGTCCTCCTTCTTTTCAAGACTCTTTGTTTTCCAAAAATGACAAAATCTACCCTGAACTATTAAACAAATTAACGAACGAGTACAAACAAACCAAGTTAGTCAAGATTGGAAACATATACATATTTCAACAACATACTATAGAGGTGGTGATCATCGTTCACCACCACCTGCATCAGCCTTCTACCTCTTTCGATCAGTAATCACCATCAACATCAACCCGCTTTCCTCTTGTCCAAATCCTTTAGTGAGTCCAAAACCCCCTTTCCCCTCTCCTCTCACTGTATCAAGGACTTTTGGGAATGAAATCTTATCTGATATTCTTTCATGTTCTTCTTCAAGTGAATTCTATGTTGTTCTTTGTTGATTATAGGGTATTTGATTTTGAGTTTCGGTTTTCATTGTTATTCATGTTCTTGATGAGGAATATGAACACATTCAACAAAAAATATAGAAAAATAAAAAGAAACATTAAATTGGAAGAAACAAGCGAAAAGATAGAAATACCCTTATGTTTAATGGATCTTGTATATCGACCTTAGGTTAAAGGACAAAACTGGGAAAAAGTGCAGACATCCAGGTGCTCTACGTAATAAATGAAGTCTAAGAGCTAATTTCTTAAAAAACCACATACCTAACTCACCTAAGAGGCCAAATCCGTAATTTACTCTAAAAGTAAATATATATATATATATATATATATTTATATATTTATAATACTAATAAATAAGTAACTTTAGGGACACGTGTCACGTTTCTGTGCAACGGTTGTTGATATTTCCCACCTAAAACACAATTTTCACTTATGGCCCCCAGACTTACAACATAACTCTGGAAAAATTCACGTCTGAATTTAACTCTGGAGTGGTCATCAAAACCGGGTCTGCCCCTTGGACCCCGCCACCCGGGGGCGCCGCCCCCGGACCCCTTCTGTTTGGTGATTCGTCCTTAAATCAAAATAAACTCAAACAAGTGTGCACTCCGCACCTGCCTTACCTGTTCAATATTTATCATGATTACATTGGTCAACAATTTAATCCCATTACACTTAAATGACATTAGTGATACAAATCATCAACATGAAGTCATCAGATATTGGTTATTTCTCAGAATTACAACATAACTTTGAATTGTTCTGTTCCAAACTTAGTTATATAGTTTATTCCCAGAATTAGAATACAACTATAAACTCCTCTTCAGAGTTACGTTTCTAAGTTATAAGAAATCAAAATTCTTGTGATTCAGGGTTATGCTCGTAGATACTTTCTACACTTAGAAGACAACTCTGAATTCCTCTTATTCAGAGTTAACTCCAGAGTTATTTTCCAGTCTAACAATAGAATTCCGAATTTTTGTGTTTCAGAGTTAATGTTCATAGTTTTTCTCATTTAATAAGAGCCAAGGACAATCATTATCAAAAGTTGGTTTATTTCTAAGACAACGGAAAATTTATATAAACTTGTAGCATTGGCTAATTTTAGCAATTAACTCTTGAAAAGAACTTCACACTTGTAGCCAGATTGGTCGTCTTGATTTAGAAGTCTTGCAACACTAGATATTATCCGTCGTGAACTCTGGAGGATTTCTTAGCCCTTGTGTTTGTCAAGCCTGATTCCGTCCTTCATACAGAGCTTAACAGAGGTTATGCACGTGCTATGCTGTCAATCTGAACCAGACTCCATGTTTCATGCAGAGCTGCACAGAGGTTCTGCATTTAAGTCTTGAGAAAGAGCTTTGTCTCTTTACGTAATGCATCGAGGCTCGTCTCTTACTCCGAAGATGGCCTTCAGACTTGTAACTCTAAATAGTTTCTGTCTTAATCTCTGGAAACTTTCTTTAAGCTTGTGTCCTTGAAGCCTGATTCCGTTCTTCATACAGAGGTTAACAGAGGTTCTACAGGTGCTACGGGGTCATTCTGACCCTGCCTCCGTCCTTCATACAGAGCTTCATAAAGGCTCTGTACTTGTCTTGAGTAAGAGTTCTATCTCTGCATGTACTACCCAGAGCCTCTGATTCCCTTTGCTTGTCTGGTATACAAAGGCTCTGCATGTACTATGCAGCACTGCATATTGGATTTACATTGTTCGTTTTCATTTAGAATTGTTTCTGATCATCGAAGCACATGCCGTCATTTGTATATGTAACATTTAATTCTCGAATAAGAGCATCTTTATATCATTGTACTTTTGTCTAAGTTTATAAATTACCTCCGATTATTAATTCTTTATAAAATACATATCAGTTTCGTTTAATTTTTGTCATTAACCCGTGTAATACACGGGTCCAAACCTAGTATATACATATATATATATATATATAGGGTTGAGTTCACGTGAGACCAAGGGTTTTCGTGAGACCCGTAAGACCAATTCTCAACCCTATATATATATATATATATATATATATATTAACAAATTGTATGTGTTACCATTAGAGTCTATAAAAGATCCAATCAACTGGGCTAATCTAACCTAATCAATTGGGTTGTTTTTTTTCTAAGTTGTATAGGATTAAAATTTTTCATACGACAAACGTTGTTTAAATATCTTCAAATCATTCAATGCTACTCGATCATCTTTACATCCCTAAAAGGTAAACTTTTTGTTGGAATTTCTTAAAATCGTTGACTACCAACCTGCATATGCTAGGTTAGGTTTGGGTTGTATTTCTATTTGAGCTGGTAGCATTGTTCATATGCTTTGGAACAAAGGTTTTAAATGCACGTGAAACATGGTGTGGCGGTGTGGTCAAACCTTAAGCCTTAGGAGCATGACGAGGCCACAACATTTTTCAAAACACGACATATGCGACAAATCTCTGTATCATATTGTTGGTCCCGAAAGGGATGTCAATAAACAGAAAATAATTGTAAAGGGGGGGGGGGTTGAATACAATTACATAAATTTTTTTAATTTTTTGATTCTTATTGACGTATATCAAGAATTAACACATAAAAATACAATACATATTGTTGTGAAAGAAGAAAAGGATAATCTAACAATCTTACACAAAGAAGAACTTACAAGAATAACATAGGGAGTACTTGCAAGGAAATGAAGAACACTAAGTTTTTCTTTACACACAGGGGAGTAGGAGAGTAGTGGAAGAGAGTCGATTGCCTTGAGAATGCACGTAATAGTTCTTTTAGGGAAGCGTGGTTTACATGGGAGATGCACTCTGCCTTTTATACTACTCCTCATGCATTAGATGCATGGGAACACTTGTCACCTTAGGATAATGAGGAAGGGTTGACTTGACCATAGTTGATATATCATTTTCACCGTGTTCTTCATGTAAACATCACTGTTCATGTCGAGATAAACCTACTAATAAGGAATGTCTTTATCTGGTACAAGTTTTGTAGGGATATGGTCAGTCTATAGGGAAATCTTCTTTGGATGGATTAATAGCTTCAAATAGCTACTTACAAATCTTGGTGCATAAAGATCTTCCTTCAATCGGCTAGTAGCTTCAAAACATTTTCAATTTTCAAAGCAACTACTTTGGAGTCTTAGAGTGTAACTTAGACAATTGATA